GGTGTTGGTGGTGGTGGTGGTGGTGGTGGTTTTTGGTGTTGGTGGTGGTGCTGGTGGTGGTGCTGGTGGTGGTGCTGGTGCTGGTGCTGGTGCTGGTGGTGGTGCTGGTGGTGCTGGCGGTTGGTGGTGGTCGGTGGTGGTCGGTGGTGGTGGGTGGTGGTTGGTGGTGGTTGGTGGTGGTTGGTGGTGGTGTTGGTGTTGGTGTTGGTGTGGGTGTTGGTGTTGGTGTTGGTTCTTGAGGTGGTGATGGTGGTGGTGGTGATGGTGGTGATGGTGGTGATGATGGTGATGATGGCGGTGGCGGCGATGGTGGTGGTGGTGTTGTCGTTGCTGGTGTTGTTTTTTGCCGTCGTTGTTCTTGCTTTGGTGTTTCGCTGCTGCTGTTGCTGTTGTTGATGCTGTTATTGTTATTCCTGCTGCTGTTGTGGTTGTTTGGGTGCCACATTGATAACAATACGTATGCAGGGGGTTGTATTTGCTGATATGCGTTTGGCGGGGCCCGTGCCGCCAGGCCAGGGAGTATCTCAAGGCTTGGGTGCAGGACACTGGTCAGAGTCAGAGTGGTTCAGTTGGTAGGGAGAGGGCGCACATCTGCAGCTTTCGCTCGCAGGGAGCTGAATCTCTCAGGCTCAGAAGGAGTTTGGATTTTGAGTCGAGGATTTGTTGCCCCTTCGTTGTGCAGGACCGGAAGCTCACTTCTCGGGTGGAGGATTTGCAGCCGGGCGACTGGTTTTTGACCAAATGGAAGGACCGGCGTTTGGTCACTAATTTGAAATCTGCGGGCGGGTTGATCTCCTAGAAGATTTAGATGTTCAAACATTGACGTGTCAGATCATGTCCGCCGTTGTTTGACTGAGGAGTGGCAGAAGGTGCTGTCAGCCAGATGCCTACCAAATAGAAGAACGGAGAACATACCCTGATGGCACACGCAACCATGCAATTTGATCTGGGGACTCCTTTGATTCAGGCAGTGCACATCGGTTTGTTTATTTGTTTATTCCAGCTGCGTTGGCATTTGCTGCCTTTACTTGTGGGCTTGTGCAACTTGCGCGTCGTTTCTCTGAGGGCTGGCGTGCGAAGCAAACGGCCTGGGAGGTGGGGCTTGCCACTGACTATCAGCCAAGCAGGCTGACATGACTGAAATGCGCCTGCGAAGGGTGTAAGAGGATTCTTTGGCATCATCCTGTTTACATGTGTGCCATGGTCAAAAAACCAATTTGCTTGGGGTTAACAATGATGATCATCCACCTGCTTGTAAGGATTCTTAATAATCATCACAATGATTCCTGCTGAGGGACCATGTACCGTGGGACATATACGGAGGTTTGACCATGGCACATGCTTTTTTGGAGCACGTTTGGGAGCGTTCAACTTTGGCCGTCACATTCTGAGCACCCACCTAGTCAGAAAAGTTGTTTATCGGATGCAGAAACATGGGCGATATGGATGAGGGAACTGTACTGAGATTCTACGCACTTGCAGCGCTTCTCAGGCCAGCAAAGTCAAGAAGCAAATGGAAGCAACACAAAGGGAGCAGAAGAAAAAGGCTCGACAGTGCATATCGCCCATCAGAAGAGTTTACAAATTATGTTCAAGACAAAAGACTGCCTTGCTCGAGGGAGGCATCAGCTTGCACAACACGACTGCAGTCTGCGTTTATTGGAATATTTTCCCGACACTGTGACATGCTGAGTGAGGCACATGTTGTCAAGTTGCCGACGCATAGCAGAGGTGGCTTCAGATTCTATCAACGGCCAAACAGTATTGCTACCTGGATCAGCAAATGAGCTTAATGTGCCAAATAGTTTGGCGGAAGGACATCTTAGTTTGGTGCGAGCTGCGCTTGACTCTCTTGCGCCACCTGCCAGGCTTACGAAGCTGCAGTGGCTGAAGCAGAAAAGGAGGGCAAGGCATTGGGGAGCGTATTTTGCTTCCCTCTATTGTTGAGTGTTGTGGAGGTGGACAACAATGTTCAACATGATTTTCCAGACGGTATTTGCGAACATCAACTGCTGTTTTTGCCGTTGCATCACTTGGGACTTGGGCATTCTGTTTGACATGAGTCGGCCATGGCAATCAGGAGCCTCCTGAAAAGCCTGAAGACCTCGAGGAGAGTCCAAAGGACGGAGCCCGGGCGCTTTGCTGGTTCTCATTATTGTATCAATCTGGGGTCAGCTCAGTGTGGGCAAGTATTAGGAGTTAGTTTTTGGAATAGAAATAGTTGGCGTTGGCCAAGTACTGTTAGTGTTGGCAGGTATTGTTTGGTCCTGGTCTGGGTGATTGTTTGGCACTAGTTTGGTGTTGTTTAGTGCCGATTGTGTGGCCTTATGTTGTTGGGCATTGGTTTGAGTGCAGCTTCAGGTTTGCCCAACTAGTTAATCAGTTGTTTACAGTGAAAACCAACTTTTCAGTTGTTCATGCCCTTTGTTATGTTGGAGTGACGTGTTGTCTTGTTTGCGGATTGACTATCGTGTCATTAGTATCCGACTGGATTCCGAGCTCAGACCAGACATGCGGCCCATCTGTCAGGAGACTCCCAAGGTGGATCTGGAGCTGGTAGACGTCTTTGGTGTCGATGACGTGAACGACATTGGCAGCGGCGAGCCGCTTTTCTCGGCCTTCCAGTTCGAGGCGGGCTGTAAAGAGCGGGTTGAAACAGGGCAATTGGGAAACCGTGGCCATGGAACAAATGTCACCTGAGCAGCTCTAGAACTCCCCGTTACATCCCAAGCAAGAGTTGTGTCAGAACAAGGCGCCGCGTAAGCAAAACCCTGCACGGCGTAAGCCGGCGTAAGCACTTTTTGGGGAAACAAGCTGCGTAAGCACATGCGTAAGCTCTTCTTCGTGATTGCTTGGTAAGCTTTGTAAGCATGCTCGGAAGAGCTGTGCTTATGAGATTATTGGTGGCTTGTGCTGTTGCAACCTAGTTGAGCTTGGCAACTTGCCCGGAGACTTTGGCTGCAGGAATTCATCTAAGACCGCTTGTGCACATCAATAAGAAAAGAAAACCAGCAGAACCTTGATTGGGAGCTCTTGGGGCTCATGCTAGGTGCTGTTGCAACCTTGACTAGGACAAACAAAGACTTCTGAAACCGCTGATCTAGGAAAACTAAAGGGGCTCGGGCGCGTAAGCTCGCGTAAGCAGGCGCGTAAGGTCTGCGTAAGCTCGCCTAGCTGGGCTGCCCGCTAGCCCTCGCGATGGATGCCGCTGCCGCACAACCCGTTTCTTGACTTGCAGCAATAACAACAATGCCAAACCGCTGAGACTCGTGAGGGTAGTTCTTCGTCATTTTCTTCCTCAGTCTTGAACAGCTCTGGCGTCTGCATGAGAAGAGGAGCTCGCGTAAGTAGTTCTTGAGGGGAAACGCTCAGAACGCCCACGCGTAAAAGCCATGCGTAAGCTCAACATGCTGACTGCTGCGTAAGCTAAACCATGGTTGGCGTAACGAAAGCGCAAGCTCGCGCGTAAGCAACTTGATACGACATAGGGATTCATGGGAGGTTTACAGAGTCGCTCACCTGTTTGTTTGCCGGCTTGCTGCGGTATGCCAGCGGTAAAGCTCGGGCAGTTGCCACCTGGACGGACTGAAGTCACTGTTGCATTGTTTCAGCACGGCATGCGTACCAAAAAGCCTGCGCTGTATGACCCAAGATGCCATGAGGACTGGGGCATGCTGCAACTGCGCTTTGAGCTACATCTTCTCTCACATGCTGCTCAGCCGCGATTTGCCGTTAGATTTGTCATGTCATGAATGCCCCGGAGGCAAGCAGACCCTCACCTAAAGCACAATTGGGTTGCATTATGTTGCAATGTCTTATGTCACATTATGTTTGAATGTCCAAAGCCGGTGGCTTTGTTCAGTTGTGAGGTGTCTGTGAGTGAGGATTGTGCTTTTGAGTCGAACCTGTCAAGTACCCGAGGCGTTCAAGAAGGATGCCAATGACACCGATCGGGTCTTGGTGCCGTTGGACCACCTGCCATTCTACTTCAACCGCTACTTCAAGAAGGTGTGAACGAGGGGTGCTCACATGCTTTTCTGGGTGGGAAGCTCATCTGGAAAATCGAAGCAGAGGTCCTAAGGTCCTGGGAAATGGAGCTGTTCGTATGTTACAATGTTTCATGTTCTTTTGCAAAGCCCCTGCGCAGCCTGCCAAAGCGCAGAGTGCGATAGGCCCTCAGCACCAAGACCTACGGAGTGGACACTGTGGAGGAGGCTTCGAATCCACACGTTGAATTGCCCAGTTTCTTTAAACCAATTCCTGCACGCTAAGAAACCCTCCAAACAGAACACTTGGAGAAGTCCAGATCATGATCCTGAAGTTCCCCCATTGCCTAACTCAGTCTGTCAGCATTTGCAGCCAAGCCCATCAGAGCTTGAGATATTTTGCAGTCACCCCGGCGCAGCCCTTAAGCGGAACAGCTGCTCGCAAGACGCTACGTTTGTCAGTGCACAACAGGGGAATATGAGAGTCAACCTGCCAGGTGGTGAGACTGGTGCGGGACACCATTCTCATCGCAAAGAACCCCATCTCCAAGCTCAGGCCGCTTTGGAAGCAAACAGCAAACCCAACGAATTTTGAGCTTTCTCCAAGATGTCATACGTTCAAAGTCCCAGTACGCGGGGCCAGGCGCAAATTGTTCTGTTAGGAAGGCTTTCTTGGCCAGCAGTTAAGGGGCTTGAGGATCCTACAGTACATGTGTGTGAGTGAGTGTGCTTGATCCTTCACAAGCCAGCTTGGGTGGCCCATGGGTGACTCGCCGTGCGCCATGATGCTATGTTGGGTAAACTACGTCTTCACAGATGCCTGTCAATCGCAGCATGAGTTGTAATACATGGCCCATGTTACGATACATCATTAGCCTGCATAACTTGTTTCATGACAGTATTTAAACATTTATTACTGCCTCCTTGCCTCTTGTCTCCGCCCATGATCTACAATGTGAAGTTGTTGGAAGGTAGAAGGTGTATGTTTGCATGGCTCCAGCCTTGTTTGAATGTGGGCCGAGCATATTGGGCATGCCTTTGCCATCCTGCCCCTCAAAAAGTGGACCGTAAGCAACTGCAGTGCGTGGCAAGGGTCCTGGAGTCCCAGCTCCCTGAAGAGCTGGAGTGTCTGAATGTCTTCATCATGCTCACGGAGGAGTTGGGTCGTGCTGGGGTCAGGTTCTGTCGGGCTAAAACATGTCCCGATTCAGTTTCAGAGTCGCTAGGAGCACCGACGTGAGCGGCAGAGGCGGTTTGACCTGGGCAGCATGGCCGCAAGGAGTTGGCTGCGTTGCATCGTTCAAGTTTTGAAAAAGCCAGTTTTGGAAAAGCGAGTTTGGAGCAGCGGTCCTTTTCGACATGCTAGACTGGGCTTATGAACTTATTGATCATGAGAGAACTTGTTGGAGAATGTCCAGCCCCGTTTCTCCTGCAAATATTATAGTTATTGGATAAAAACGTTTGATTATTTGGCCCAAGAATCTTTGAGAGAAAGCCGTAGAATGAAACACTGACAGCATTGCACAGCTGTCAAACATAAATCTTGGCGAGGTGACGAGTCAGCCAAGCTGAAGTTCATCACTCCTGGCGGCGTGACGTCCAGTGTGTGTGGAGCCCTGCGGTTCCACGCTTCATTTTGACGTGATGGCCCAGATACATTTGGATAATCGAGGCTGTGGAACATGCGAGTTTTGGCCCAGGTCGTCCAGAGACATCGTAATGCCAGGCGTGGTGTCAGGCACGGGAGTTCATTACACAGAATGCTCCATAGCTTCGTGCATGAGCGAGGAGGAAATTCAAGACCAAGCATTTGCAACCCCACCCACGCATTGAGAGAATGTCTTCATTTTAGCTACCACACCCATCGCTGCTATGCACAGATCTGACGTGCAGTTTTAGAATCCTGCAGGCGGCGCAAGCCCCACCGGGGGAGTGCGGCCCACTCTGCCAGGGGCGCTGCTTGGAAGCCCAGCTTACAGCTTTCAAGGAAGTGCAGTTCGGTGAAAGTGTCAATTCAGGCTGGTTGGCCGTCAATTTGTGCGCAGGGGCAACACACGCTGAAGTTCACGTTCGAGCTAGGTCCAGGTGATTTTTAGACATGTAGTAGGAATGCAAAAGCACAAAACAAGTTGTAGTGCAATGTATTTGCTTCTTGCAAACAGTTCACATGTTGGTTTGTTTCTTGAAAGTGCTGCGTTTGCAAAGCAGTGCTTGCAACACATGCGATTAGCTTCTAAGGTGTTCCGTGAAAAGTTGCTGTTTGAGCCTTTTCTTTTGTCGGTATCAAGCCGCCCAAACTGCATCGCACTGCAATCCATTTTAGATCAGTTTCAGAGACAACCTGCTCCACAATGCAATCAATTTTAGCGATTTCTACTCAGCTTGGCAGATATACCTGGCAGCGTTGCCTCTCTGGTCCCCATTAGCTGGTTGGGCTATCCTAGCACATAGGTCTGGAGGCGCCAGTCCTGGTGGATCAATGCGACCGGTCATGATGCCAGGCTGGGAAGGCTGGGAGGGACAAGACAATGCCTCCGTGTTGCCACGGCAGCTTCTCCCAACATCCAAGTATCGTCATTGAGTCGTGCCGCATCATGTCCTTGCCTCCACAGAACCGCCAACCAGGGCCTCGCCGAGGGAAACCAAACAGATTGTGTGGCAAAAATTGTACACTTTGGTTTGAAGTGTTTGCTTTGTGTACACAAATGACTTGCTCAAACTGATCATTTGTGGGCAGCAACTTGTTTATGACAAAATTATTTGCTTCTCCCAGTCGGGGGTTGATCCCTTTAGCCTGCAGTCTTTTGAAGGCCCGTTTTGCCTTGTGGCAACGGCGAAAAAAGTACTCGCACCATTTGTCGCAACACTACCTGCGTTCTTGCCGTGTTCTGCCTTTGAACCATGTCTGTCATTTCCAAAAAGGCGCTTGCAACCTGAGTGTGTTCTGTGTTTTAAAGTCAGCCACAGAGAGGTTGCACTGTTCAAACCAGCGCTTGTCTTTTTTGCACAATTGCAGAGTGGGCTGAATCTCTAGTTGCACATTGCTCTCTAATTGCCTGAAAGTGCTCAGATTCAGCAGGCAGCCTTCAAATAGGAAAGCGTATCTTTAACAATATCGGTACAGTACTCAATATTCAATATGTACAAACAATGAAATGTATATCATGCATAGAGGAATCAGTGGTTTCTGCTGTCACGGAAGGTAAAGGGGGGGGTGTTGCCCGCTTTGCAAACACACGCGCATAGAGAGTTAGCCGATTGGTTCTTTTTGAGCCTTTTGGGCGGAGTGGGGTGGGCTGGTGAGTGAATTGGGTTGGGCTCGGGTGGGGTGCGGGTTTGGGGTCTGGGGTCTGGGGTCTGGGGTCTGAGGTCTGGGGTTTGGGGTTTGGGGTTTGGGGTTTGGGGTTTGGGGTTTGGGGTTTGGGGTTGGTGGGGGTGTGGGGTTGGGGTTATCGTGGGAATGGGGGGAGCTGGGTGGAACGGTTGAGTGGGCTTGGGGGGGAGGGGGGGATGGCCACTTGAGCGCAACTGCTTGTTGGGGTGGCCTTGTGCTTGGCCGGGTGCCTAATAGCTTGGAGATCTTGGAGCTTAAACGGTATACTAAGCCGTCAAATGCAGGAAAGCTCCTGCAGACAGATGAGACGACTCAGGCCGTGTTTTAGATCAGCACCCACTGCAAAGATCTTGGAAAACAATTAAACCGCGTACAGCATGGCATCATCCCTTTTCCAACCTGGACAGACACGATTCCGGGCAAAGTCCAGATCGGTCCCGTCCACTCAAGACTCGTAATCCGCGCTATCCCAATGCCCGGGCGATTCCCTTCGCGCAAATGGAGTTTTTAAAGTCGTGCCTCCGCCTGCCTTGGATATGAGCGGTTGACGCCGTCCCGCTGGAGGTTTGTCAAACGGCGGTACTAGTAGTAAGTCTCTGTAGGCTTGTCAGCAACCCGGTCAGCTGCTCCCTCCCCTAAGGCAGCCGGGGCAATCCACGCGGCTTTACGACTCGGAGGAAGGTAAAGCACTCGCAATACTGGTTCAAGAACTTGCTGGGCGCGGCACCACCACCGAGCTACGGCCACCTGCAAAGACGAGAGAAACGCTGCCCAGCAACGCTACAGTGCACTGATCCGGTGATGATCCTCCTGCCGCCATCTCGCCATGGGCCGGTCGCGGATGTGGGGCTGGCGCAGCCTCCTCCCAGCGTTTGTTTGTTCATGCTCGGGGGCCCTTGTCATGAAGTCACAAGCGAAGGCAACTTTTAGCGAGGAAATTAGAACAGGTTGCCCGCCACACGCGCGACCCAAGCGCCGAAGATCTTTGCTCCCACTGACGGCCAGCGCAGGAGGACCTTGTCAGGAGCGCAAAGTTCAGGTTACCGATGCAGGGCCGCGTTCCGTGAAAGGCCACTGGGAGGCATAACAAGATGCGTCCCATTGATGCAACTTAAAGGGCCTCCCATCTCCGTGGGCCATGCCGTCGCACAGACCCTTCCACCTAAAACTTCACCCGTCGCGAAACATATGGAGGACAGGCGCGCATCAGATGCCACCCAAAAAGCGCATGTGTAAAGAAATTTGACATGTGATGTTTAGGCCTGGGACAAATGCACAAAAAGTATAAGATTTGAGGTTTGCGTTTGGTCGGCTTAGAAAGCCTAAGGCACCACAGAAAAGAAACCTGCTGAATCACGTTCTTTACTGACTTGCGTCCCCTGTTTTTGGCACTCAATATGTTTGACAATAGAGATGACACCGGAGCAGAATCGTATTGTGCTTGAGAAACCAGGGTTACTATTATTGATGGTGCTGCAATCATGTTGCATTGCGATGCTGATGACGCCATCAGCGAGCGCACGATGCTTGGTGATGCGGTGTTTCCTTTATCTTGTTTTGACCGAAATCGTCTACACCCCAAACAGATCAGGCTTGGCAAAGCCTACAGGAGTTGGATTCGCCATGACATAAATGCTGGCAGCCCGCCAACATGGCGGTGCCGAAACATCCAGGTTGCTGAGTTTCAACCTGCCGCGCTGGTAGCGATGTCGGGTTCTTTTACACTAAACACACATTGGGGCTGCTTGGCCGACAGCCGCTTCTCATTTGGACCAGCAAACGTGATTCTGCGGCTTTGGTTCCTTTGTCGACAAGTTCAGTACAACATGGCCGTAGGCTTAGGGCAGTCGTCCGCAGGGCAAACATTAGGTCTCGAAGGTCAGCCAAACAGGGGTTTTGGCACTCGCTAGATGGCCAGACTTGCAGATGTGTCTACAGAGGCAGGTGAAGCCAAAGCCAAGAACAAGGGCAAATTCCCAAAGTCGCAGGGAAGGCAAGCCGTAATAGCACATTAGTAGCAGTCAACATGTTTTCAATCACTGGATCATTGGATGGTTCTTCGTTGCATGTCCATGTGGCATGCATTGTCATCCTGATCATGCGTGTTGACAGCTTCGTAGGCATGCGCCCGGGCTTTCCTATGCGACCTTTCGGTCCGTGGCGAAGCTGGTGAGGCTCTCTCTCAGGGAGTCGAGTTGTCTCTGCAACTGGCGGGCATTGTGAGGACATCATTGCACTATATTCATCCATATTCATTCCATGTTTGGTGCCCATCCAAACTATGCTTGCTCGATATGCCAATCTGCCTTGAAACGGTCCAGCTTGTAGCATGTATGGTCATTTGAAACATCGAAGATTGTTTTGCTTCTCCTGATCGGTATTGATATCGAGATGTCTCAGGTGCGATTGGGATTGGCGTATTGCTCCACCCAGTTTGAGTTGAACCTGGAAGTCCGGCGAACGTTGAAATGCCACCAGGTGCGGCCAGCGCTGTGAAGGGAAATATGTCCAGGAAACTGCAAGTGTTTTCGTTGCCCAAGCGCAAGTCGGACATGGGACATGAGCTGGTATGTTAGTTGTTTTCATCATGCTGTGTCCTTGGCTCTCTGGCTTATTCTGATGTGATGGGTAGCGGAGTGTCGAGGAAAAAAGCGTGGTGCGTCGACCAAGGGGCATGGGTGCTTGCTTGCAGTCTGGTCAGACAGTGTGGATTCAGCATGCAACCAGCAAGCATGCATTAATGCGTGCTTGCTGCCCTGATATCAAACTTACTGACTTCGCAGCGTTACATTGAGGAGAGGCATGCACTCCTATTGATACCAGTGCGTGAGCCACCGCTCAGACATCTAAACACATAGCAGCATGTGGGTGACGAGGCATGCATCCTATTGATATGTCCTCGTCATGGTCAAAAGTATGCCATAATGCAAGGCGGAAGCATGTCTTGATTCTCTTTGCCAAGGGCTTGTTCATAGCTTAATTACGCATGATGGGCGCAGTGTATTGTAGGGCAATGCAAAATCAATGTGATATACATGATTTTGCTATGCAGTTTACTGACACGTGAATAAGTATGCCGATTATGCCGGTTCTTCAGGTAGGGATTGAATTTGGGAACACTGACAGAGCAGACGCATGCAAATCATGTAAATGCAGCACACGATGCCACAATTAGATTCATTGTAGGCCTTCAATCACTGTGGAAGCCTGGCTTCTGAGGATGGCATGGTCCGCATTTTCAATTTGGCTGTCGGGTGCCCAGATACGAGAGGACCAGAGCGGGCTATCTCAGTGTATCTTCTGCTTCACTAGCTCAGATTGGCTGCAACCATGTCAGTGCATAGAAAACTGCCACGCGCTTCAGGCATTCCGTTGCACTTCTGCTTGTCCATGATGGTGCCAGAAAACTGCTGAATGTGCATGACGTCCGAAAGTGCACTTGCAATACAGCTGGCAACTTGCCCGTGCGACCCCGTGAAGAGTCTGTTGCAGGAGGCGCCGTATAATTGCAAGCACGCAGGAGGAAGATGAGGATGAGGATGATGGGAAGGAGAATGATGATGACTGTTGCATGCCCCATTCCCTGAGATGAGCATGAAGCAGCCTATGCAGGTAACTATTCTCCCGAAAAGCGACATCCTTGTGACATAATCCTTGAAAAGCACTCTTGAGCACGATGTTCGCCATAGCAAAGGACCGGATATTTGTAGATAGATGTTGCTGTTGCTGTTCAATTGAGGTGTTTTTGCGCTTTTTCTCTTGGGTGAATGGATGCGGTTTGTATGAATGTCCTGCGGCTCCGCCAGGCCGTGGCAGCAAACTTGCGGGGCGGCGTCAACACGGCACCGGAGGTGATCTTACAGGGTCACGAAGCTAGAGCGGAGGCCTCAATGATGGCCGGTGCACCGGGCTGGTATGATAAATGGCACGCTTTTCAGAGTGAAAGAGTGCTAGTCTCCAAGATAAATGATCAGTTAGTGCCATCGCAAAGAAGCCTAAGGGACGGACCGATGCTTTTCCTTGCGTGAATTGGTGCCTACATGCTGGAAGCTCATAGCTGACCTACAGTATTCATGCGGGGTGACATATTCGCATGCCGACCTCACACGACAACACGGGTCTGCCTTGAGACACCCTGCAGAGGACTTGTCTTGGTGCATGCCGATCACCGATCGCAGCTGTCTTGGCAGAGATTGATGGATAAAGACCAAGCTATGCTGCTGGAAGGATCATTTAGCATACGTAAACTCAACTTAGCTGTGTCCCAGGATGTTGATCGAAACTCCTTCTTCAAATTGTGACCTTTCCTCCCCTGCCGAGACCGTCCTGTGAACAATGGACCCCGGGCCCCAAATGATTGGGTCAAGATCTCGGTCCTGTGGAGTTGTTCCACACAGCGCACATTTCACGTTTCTCCACCCACCCACACACACATATCCGATTCTGCTGCTTGCATGGTGCTGTGTTGATGATGCACTTATTCTCTTGGCTCTTTGCAAGTTTTGTCTCAGTTCCTTCCCAACATGTCATCTTGCGCTGTTTTCTGGCCTCATTGCAGGCAGGCAGGAGCTTCCCAAGAAGCCAACGTATTTGTGCAGCGCCACATGCATCAAAGTCTGGCTGACTCTTGTTTGGTGATCATGCGACTGTTAGCTAGGTTGTCCACGATTGTCCCCTTTCAGTCATCAAGCTATGTGCCTTGTTCCAATCCTGTCAGCATGATGTCACTGCACGCATACCTATGTATATAAGCAATACAAATATACATATACATATACATATATATATATATACATATATATGTAGTATGCATGCACATGTATATGTTGGGAGTGACCCGCAATGTCGCTGCGGGACCTGGGCCTGCAGTGGGCCGAGCGCCAGAAGGCTCAAGGGCCCAAGGAGCGGCCCTGCTACAGCCGGGCGCCCAATCGATTTGCGGCTTTGGAAGGGAGCAGAGTTGGATTTCAAAGGGAGCAGAACTCGTGAAATGCTGAACAAGAGTTGGCCTCTTTCAGTTGGGCGGCGTTTTTTCCGGCATGAAGGTCCACATCTTCGCAACGACACGCGTAGGCGGCCGTTTACGAGCTTGAGCTTTCGCTTGAAATGTTGAGCATTGCCGTTATGCAAGACATGGCTGTGTGACAGTTTGTGAGTGGCAGTTTGGCGCAAGCTGTGGGCAGCAACTGTTGCGCTTATTTGCGCAGCTCTGTAATTACGGTACGTCAATGTTGGCGTGTGAAGGAGTATTTGTGAAGTACTTGCACGGCGCAGCGGACACCTTGTGTTTAAAACCAAGAGAACTCCCAGCACACGCTTTTGCCCAATAGCGCGCTTTCGCCCAATAGCGCCCGGCACACCGAGGGGAGAGCACAGCATGACATACTTGCACACATATTACGACCAGGTTCAGTCACCAGGTGAGAGTTCCCCAGCTTCGGCCTGAAAGACCGACCAAAGCGTTGGACCTGTGTTTGACTACCTCGGACTTTCCAGTGCAAGGTGAGCCAGTGTCTTGTTAAGTGTGAGAGGTCAATAAAGGGATTTGTGCCATCTCCTTTCACCAATATTTTCAATATGTCAATTGTTTGCTGTCTTGATCAGTCTGGGTGATCGTCATTCTGTCTGCTGAAAGTGCGTGGCTCTGGCGAACTGCTTGAACTTGGCAAACATATAGCACTGCCAGCAACACCTGCAGTGCCTTATGTCTGTTTTGTTGTCTTGCTGCATGACCCCTGCCATGTCAAGGTTGTGGGTCTGTGGAGCACCTGGCCCGCGCCGCTCGTCAGTCTTGGACATGTTGAGGTGCGCCTTCAATGCGTGCATCTAAGATTGAAAAGCTCAAAGTAAAGCTTGACACAGAAGAAGTCCACGCAGGAGCGTTGTTGTGTGAATGCTTGCTTGATGTTTCTTGGGAGCAAGCGTTGCTTGTTGTTGCCAAGGACTGCCCGGAGAGCCTTTGCCACTTCTGCGGCCGTGCGGGACATCTTGCCCGCGCATGCAGCTTTGGGCAAAGCTTGAGCAACAGTGCCAGAGTGGCACGGAATTGGGTTTTTGGCTCTTGTTGGATCAAGCCGTGTTGCCGTGCTGCCCAGTCAACAAAGAGGTCACCTGGTATCGATGCGACGAGGTGACCAGTTTATCCTTTGCAGCCGGGACTGCGTGCCGCGGCGCTTCCTGATGCCACTGCACCAAGCGAGAACGAGCTTCGCAGAGGTCACGGAGACTTGGGCAGAGAGAACCGCTTTGTCATTTCAGCCTCATTTTTGGCTATTTTTTGTTTATGGGCTATACGTGGGGTCAGCCTTCCGGGGTTTTCTATCTGGATTTGCGGCATCCAGGGCCATACATACAACCGCGCCAGCCTTTCTTTGCAGACTTACAAACATGTCAATGGCTGGAGTGAGACAATGTTTCGGCCACGTATTGTACTACTCGGGGGCCTCAGCATGAGCCAGGAAGACAGCTATGGTTGCCAGAGAAGCCGATTATGGTCAGGCCTTCAAACACGAGATCAGGCATCAAAGCAATCATCAAGGCTAGCGGCTAGTAAACATACTGAGCCAGACAGGCTTGGTTGGTTGGCGGGGGGGGGGGGGGACTGTTTCCTACCTGCCTCAGCAACAATCCAGAGCATGTCCAAACTTGGCCAGTACTCAAGAACCCAGATACATGCTTAAATGCAAATCAGCAGCTGTCATCGCCCATGCGGTTTAACGTGTTGCGAATCTTACAGAAAAGGTTTTGTGTGCGAGCCTGCATGGATGTGTTTTGGGCAGTGCTCGCGAGCGTTGCAAGCGTAGGTGTGTGTGTGTGTGTGTGTCCCTTGCTTATCTTGCTTGTCGCCTTGCTTTTGTGCTTCATGTTTGTGCTAGCGGATGAGTTGAAATGAGGCCAACCTCCGACTAATGTCGCCGTAGCGCATTTGACGAGCATTATTTTGACATCAGGAGGGCCGAGTGGATGTCGGCTGCCGCTCTGTCACTGCGGCGCTCTTTCGCTCCGAGTCCTACCGCAGGAACAGCGATGCTTTGGCCTTTGGAATAGGAGTGTAGTGGGTGGTGCCTTTGGCCTCGTTTGTCTTCATCAGCACAAGCTTGGCCAACGCGTTGCCTGGGATTTGTCAGTGTTCGAGCTACTTGCCCTCTCCGCAACAACAGAGAGCCAATGAGGAGATTCGCCTGACCTTTTGTGCGGGCGATGCGAATCTCCCGTGGAATGAGCAGGCATGACATTGGGTTGGGATGGATTTGATGGGGTGTTGTTCTTGCTTGCTGAACACTATTTGTTTTTGTGGCCCTTTTTGTGCTGCACAAGCCTGGATGGATTGGCCCACTTTTGGTAGAGGAGGTTGCGGGTGAGCTCGTCACCCTCCAAGCCGTGTGGTGCAGGCAACCATGGAAGCAATATTCTGACTCCTGTGAATTCTTGTGAGTGTCGCAGGACCCGCTGCCTCATTTTCTCTACCCATCTAGTGATTGCAACTCATGAGCCCTTCAAGTAGCAAAGCCCACAGTCTGCCCTCTAGATTGGCACATCAACAATTACAGCCCAGAGTTCAGAGATGAGAGAATGACCGTATGAAGCACTGCGACAAATGTGCAGTCAGAGTTTCAGCAATTCTGGGGCGATTACGAGGGCAGATTGCTGGGAGTGGAACGTGTAGCGAACCAATTGACC